TCAAAATCATAAGTCTACTCAATTACTCAGATACATATATTAAGAATCACAAGGCTGACCCATTAATCTAATAAGCCAAATTCTCTTAAATTTTCAAAGTATATACTCCCTAACACAAAAATATTAGTATTTGGTTTTGAATCACTTCTATATTTTGACACATGATTCTAAAAAGATGCTTACCCACTAAGGAAATGATTATGCCACCATCCCAAACAATATTGAGGCTTATCTTGGGAAGCAATTTTGGGGGTTAAGTTAGCTGCTTGAGGCTACCTGGTGACTGAGAGAGTGGCTGGCATGCAAGCCTACAGATGCAGACATCAGGAGATTATTCCCACCACCTGATGGCAGGGTTGGCCCCTTTCTGTGGTTGGCATGTAACAGACTACAGAGGCTAAGGAAGGAGGTAGGCAACTAGACTAGGGCTTGAGTTTTCTAATTTTCAAATCATTATCTTGGTGGCTATGCCCTCGACAGGAAATTGGAATCTGAGTATCACAAGGCAATATCTGACTCAGGGGTCAAAGCTTTTAAGAAACACGGCCATGACAGGTTTTGATTGGCATTAATTTAAAATTGGGAGAGTGAACTCATTATTATTCAATACTGAGTTTGTGGGGTGCCTAGGTGGCTCAGTCCGTTAAGCATCTGCCTTCAGCTCAGGTCATGATCTCAGGGTCCTGGGATGGAGCCATATGTCAGGCTTCCTGCTCGGGGGCGAGGGAGGGGGTCTGCTTCTCCCTCTCCCTCTCTCTCTGCCCCTCCTCCCCAATCATGCTCACTCTCTCTCTCAAATAAATAAAATCTTTAAAAAAAAAAATCCAACTTTTAAAACATGAGAGGCTGGAAAGATGAACAGATGGGAACCATAAAAGGCCCTTTAGTAAGGGGAAGTTTGGAAGCTACTGGTTTACACAGAGTTGGCCAAATCCCACCCACCACCTATTTTTGTAAATAAAGTTTAATTGGAACATAGCCACACCCATTGGTTTGTCTATGGTTGTTTTTGTGCTACAATGGCAGAACTGCATAGTTGCAACTGGCCCCAAAAACCTGGTCTTTTACTGAAAAATTGGCCAACACCAAGTTTAGAAAATAGCCACAGAACCGGAAATGAGAACTGGACTCCATACCTGACTCTGACACTGCTGGGAGAAACAAAAATACAGTATGTATGAATTATCAACTAAAAGGTAAAGTGATTCACAAATACATGCTGGCATATGATTAGTAATTAATTAAACCATCTTAATCAATTTTTTAACCTATTTTGAGCTGTGTTTCACAGTCTAATGTATGGAACAGTAATATTTATCCTAATCAATGATATGAAAACATGAGAAAGTGTATGCTTTGAAACATTAAAAGGGCTACGAGATAGGTTACTTCCATCCCATCATCCATTAAAAAATATTCTGAACCAGAAAACCCCTCCTACCCTTCCTCCCCCCCTTCATATTTCATGTGATTAAAAGCAAAACAAAGACATACCAAGACCATGAGCATTTATCCGACACCCCCAAGACACGCCCTAATTAGCCATGTCAGCTAGCTATAAGACATTCTCCACTCAGTTACTAACTTTTTTTAGGAGAGGAAATTAAACTGTATTATATGCAGTGAGGACACAACTCAGAAATAGCCACAAAATTATTCAGTATCATAATTTGTGCATATGAATAACATGCTACAACTCTTTCCAGAACAGCCCTGGGCCAATATGGAGTGATTCCACTGCTATCTTTTGCTCCAACTCAATTGATAAGGCAACTCCAACAGATTTTCAACAACTCCTGTCCCACTATCCAAGAGTAGCCACAGCCATTGGTTAACATCCACGACAACTCCCTAACAAAAATAAAAGTCCAGTATATCACTGTGAGAATAAGATTGTGAAGTCTCCGATCACCGTTTTTAACCTGCCATACCTGCTCTTGCAAAGGTCTGAGTTGAGAATGGCCGTAAGATCAAGAAAGGAGGGGTAGAGGTGGATGATGGTAGGTATTTCTATAAAACCGAAGCCAGATAGTTAAGCTCTAACTGCCACGATTAAACCCATAAATGCAAATGGTGTCTCATCTTCCTAGAAGCATTTATCTAAATGAAACAGCTGAAACCAGAGAGAAGCTGTTCATTTGCAATAAGTTGGATGCTGGGATCTTTTTTTCCCTCATTTCAGACTGCCAGGTTCACCTCCATTTAGCACTGCTGGAGTCTTTGAAAGATGAAGACATTAGAGGAAAGACTCAGGTTTGTGTTCAAAGACCACAAAAGACCTGGCACCATCCTCTGGCAGAAGCGGACGATGGGGACAGATGTGATGGTCATTAACTGGCCCAGCAAGCCCCGATCAATGTTCTGCCCCCCGCCCCTCCCCCAACAGGAGTCATTAGTTACATAGCTGTTTTAGAAACATAACCAATTCATCACCAACAGTAGCAAGCCAAAGAACAGCATAATGTGGATATAAAGATACCCAAATATACACCCTTCCTGTTAAATGCTGAGACAGGCTTTAGGTACTCTAGTGCTCACTCAATCCATAAACATATTTGTTGTTGCTATGTTTTCTGAAAAAGTCACATCATTTTAAAGACACCTACAAAAAGTTTATATAGATATTTCAGAGAATTGACTGAAAAACAAAATATTAAATGAAAAGAAAATTAAATACTCCTGAGAAGGGAGTATATATTTCTACTTCCGGGAAATATTCTAAATATAACTTAAAGAAAAAAACCACCATATAAAATATCTATATAATCAAATGACTTTTTTTTAAAAGATTTTATTTATTTATTTGACAGAGAGAGAGAGAGACAGCGAGAGAGGGAACACAAGCAGGGTGGGTGGGAGAGGGAGAAGCAGGCTTCCTGTGGAGCAGGGAGCTCGATGCAGGGCTCGATCCCAGGACCCTGGGACCAGACCTGAGCTGAAGGCAGACGCTTAACGACTGAGCCACCCAGGTACCCCTCAAATGACTTTTTATAGGAATACATTTCAATAATGTAATGGAAACAACTGTTTGACTTCCAAACTACTTTAAGTAAATTTATGTTTTGCATATCTCAAACTTAGAGAAATAGTCATAGTTCGGCATTTTCTGGAACTTATTTTAATAACAGGCTGAATCTTCAAGTCAGATTTTATTCACATTCCAAAACACCAAACCTGCAAGTTACCTAAATCACCACTAGGTAACAATACAATGTCCCTGCAATGCAATGACTTCTTGCTCCCTAACATCATCTTATACATAATATACTTATTCATTCACTATATCCTGCATACGAATGGAAGCTCTATGGGGCAAGGACTTTGTTGTATTAGTCACTACTGTGACCTCAGCACTCAGCACACAATACCTGGCACATAGTAGGTATCCTATATATACTTGTGTATGAGTACATGAATGAATAATGAGGACCTTAACTCCGTATGGTAGTAGGGATAGAGAGGAGATATCTAAGAGCTAAAAGAGTAGTTCCTGGTATCTGGCTAGATGAGGAGTTGAAGGAGAAAGAGAGGAAGAACCTATGATAACAGGCCAGGTTTCCTGTTTGAATGACTAGGAAAACAGTGGCATCATTAAGTGGTATCAGAAATTCATGGAGAGAATGAGCTTTGAGGGGAAAGTAATGAGCCCTGGTTTAGATAAGCTCAGTTTGTGTATGTCTGGGAGGCCAATGAGTATATGAGGAAAGGAAGGGTAAGTCTGAAAATACATTTTTGGTATTAGTTATGATGATGAAAATATATGGGATCATACAAAGAGAGAATGTAGAGAAAAACACAGTGAACAATGAAGTTGAAGAACATCAACATTTGGTGAGTATCTTTGGGAAAGCCCAAGAATGGAATTGAAAAAATTCAAAGTGCTAAAATAATCAGAAGAGAAAAGCCAAGGAAGGAGAATATCTCCAACAGAGTGCTCATTCAGGAATACTCAATGTGCAAAAAATGTCTGGTACGCTAAGAAGCTGAAAAAGTATCCACGGATACCTGGGTTGGACCTCCTCCCACTAAAACACATAGAAATGTCAGATATAAGCACACATTAAAATCTCCCAGATGCTAGAAACAGAGGGAACTCAAAACCAAAATATTAAATATGGGAGCCAATAAGAGTGGCGGTCCAGGAGCCATCTAATGAGGAAGAATACTCGAATAGGGAGGAGGAAACCTGGCGATAGGTTTCCAGAAGGCAGAGAACCAGAAATGATACCCTTGTATAAAGCAAGGACCCTGGAAAGGCCTCCCCTTTGTCCTCCCCACCCAGCAACTCCATGAAAGGGGGACTAGAAAACCCATCCCTGGAAGACACAGGAAACCTTGTCATCTGTCTTGTTGCATACAAACATCACATCCAGTAAAAGTGAAAGATTAAAACCCTAGGCCTATGTGATGAACAGCTCTTGAGTCTGAATTTAAACCTCCCAAATTGTATGGAATCTCAAACCAAGAAATCCACCTTAAGAACAAGTTCTAGGGGCTCCTGGGTGGCTCAGTCAGTTGAGCATCTGCCTTCAGCTCAGGTCATGATCCCAGGGTCCTGAGATCGAGCCCCATGTCGGGCTCCCTGCTCAGAGGGAAGCCTGTTTCTCCCTCTCCCTCTGCTGCTCCCCCTGCCTGTGCACTCTCTCTCTCTCTGTCAAATAAATAAATAAAATCTTAAAAAAAAAAAAAAGAACAAGTTCTAGACCAGGGAAACACCCTTGTTTCTTCAGCAGAGCCAATGCAAAGCCAATCTGTAGGAACTCTTCCACAATCACTCCTAATACAGGAGTGATTTGAAAAAGGAACAGACCACACAAGAAAGCCAATCTCCATGAGGACGTCACAAGACACAATAAATTGAGAATTTGAACCCCTGAAATGTGAAATAACTTAACTGTGGTTGTCATTAGTGCTAATACCAAATATTTCCAGCCCTTTGCCTTCTAGGCATGTAATATTACACCACTTAGCCCACTTGTAGGTGAGTAACATGTGTTAGTTCCAGTGTAAGGCCCTCTTTTCACTCTCATGTGGCAACCAGTGATGCTCAAGATGATAGCTGATCTTTCAGTCTGGGTCTCTGAGTGACTACAATGAGCAGAGACTCTCTGATGACCTGCAAAGAACAGATAGCATTAAAAAAAATGCACCCGTGTTGTTCTAAACCACTAAGATTTGGGGGTTGGTTATGATTGCAGGATAACCTAGCCTGTCCTGTCTGAAGTTGAGTTTGGTTTAGAAAAGCTTATAAAATAAACATTTCAACATGATTAAAGAGATTTTTTTTTAAAGAGTGACTACAAAGTCAGAAAGTGTCACTACTAACCATAGATTATGTTTTTGAGAAATGTGGCACACATTGGTGGTAAGAAATAGCACAGTAGCTAAAAAGGGACACAAGGTCAAGGGAATTTTTTTTCTAAAATAGAAGAGACTTGAAGATATTCATAAGGATAATGGTGAGGAGAAAGAGGTTAACTAAGGGTTAAAGACAGAAGAAAAACTACATTATCACTTACTCACTTTACTAAGCTTTGTAAGGAAATCTTACAGAAAGTCTTAGCTGATTCTTACCACCACCGCCCTCATAGAAATCCTACCTCTTTTCTTTATATTAATTAAAAGCCACCGAGTAAAAGGTCCCCAAAATTTTCCCCAAAGAATAAAATACTTGCCCTCCATACTCTTTTAGTCCTCCTATCTTCCACCTTCATTAGCAGAAGCCAAATATAATTTTATGAATATACTCTGGTTGGAATTAGTTGGTGCCCTAAAGTAGTGAACACTACTTAGCAATACTCTTGTAACTGGTCTCTCAGAGCTGGGCCCTACTATTGGTAATTTGTTCTTGAAAATGCGAACAAAGGTTGAATGTGCACAGGTCAAACAATGGAATTTCATGTTCTAAGGGAAGTTCCTGTTCTACAGTTACATCCAAGCTCTTAGATGGGATCTTCAGAGATACATTTTCAGCATTTTACATATGTTCTTCAGTTTTATTCTTTTCCCTCATTTACTAGGAGAAGTCAAACAGTCAAGTTGAGGACAAAGACATACTATGTGGGGAAGGACCAATAATTTCCATCTTTACCTCAACTGTATTAGTTTATGAGACCTACATATCCTTTTTGCTAGTATTAGTACTTTTATATTTAAATTTCCCACTCATTTTTATAAAGTAAGGGTAAAATGCAAAATATACAAATAATTACACAAACTCACTTGCAACGAAGATGGCAATAAGACATCTGCAAGGTCTAAACCTGGTAAGTGACCTGAACTCTTTCATACAGCATGTGAAAAATGCCTGCAAATTCACAGGACTGCAACCCCAACAATAACAACAACAACAACAACAACAAAAAGACTAACAATTTATAAAGGAGGAAACTCAAAGGCTAACAAGAATATCAGTAGATGCTCAAATTCATTAGTAATGAAAGAAATGCAAATTAAAACAATGAGGAAGCATTTTATTCTTGTTAGGTCACCAAAAAGTAGAATGTTGAAGAATCCAGGTGTCGATCGAGATGTGGGACATAGGGACATATTTGTGGATGTATACTCATACATCTACCCCAGGGAAGAATCTGGCAGTTTTTGGTTAATCAAGTATACATATATTCTACGACCTCACACTTCCACCTCTGAGTATATGTTTCAAAGAAATTCTCATACAGGTTCAGAAAGGAACAAATACAAAGGTGATCTTCAAAGCACTGCTGTTGTGTTAGGAAGCTAAAGACAATCTGGTTTTCCATTATTGGCGGGGAGTCAACTGGTAAAATGTGGTAGATGTGCACATATCATGGACATGCAATAGCTCTTTAGAAGCAATTTATTATTGCTGTAATTGTAATTTCCCTGTTTACCTATCTGCCTTTCTTTCTGGATTGTGAGCTCTTCAAAGGCAGGGACTGAATCTTGTCCATTTCTTTCTTTATTTATGTATGTATGTAGTTATTTATTTAAAGATTTTATTTATTTATTCATGAGAGACAGAGAGAGAGAGGCAGAGGGAAAAGCAGGCTCCCAAGGAGCAGGGAGTCTGATGTGGGACTTGATCCCAGGACCCTGGGATCATGACCTGAGCCGAAGGCAGACGCTTAACCATCTGAGCCACTCAGGCACCCGAATCTTGTCCATTTCTGTATCACAATCATCATACATTGTTCTTAACCCACAGTAGGTGTTCATTAAATACTTAATGAGTGAAAAAAAATGAATTTAATAAAAGTTTTCAGATGCAAAAACAAAGCGTTTACAAAGTCTGAGAATACAATTTTCATTTCTACGTAAAACAACAATTTGACAGTAATGGCAATGGTGGCAATTTAACATTTTGTTTTTTTCAGTTTGGACTCAGAGTACTAGAGATAACAAAGTAATTGATGTTAGTTCAGAAATGCTTAGGTAGGTCACAAAACTAGAAGAAATGGCTGTATCTCTAAAATATAAGACAAATGATAGAAAAATTTAGGCCAGACTATTGTAGATATCCTCAGATCAAAGCACATTTCTAAGAAAAAAATGTGCTTCATGTTCAATGGATGGAGCATCAAATATGAAAAGACAGCTCAATGGGTTTGCATCATGATTTTTTTTTTAAAAAGAACCAGCCAGCCACCTTTATGTATGATGTCTAGAATCCACTAAGAGCAGCTATAATGGAAATGTCAGATGAAACTACTTCACTATTTGCCTTTAAAAGTGTTGTGCTGCATTTTAAAGACACTTAGATATTTGGCATTAAAAACTGTGGTGACAAGGTCACATGATTTCTCTCAGAGGAAATTGCGAGGAAAGGGGAAAAGGGCAGGAGGAGAAGCTGTCTGGCAGTAGAGGCAGAAAGTCAGTTTTCAGCCCCAAACCCTCTACTCTTGAGGTTTTCCTCTAATCACAACAGATCAACTGTCAATGCATTTATCAGAAAAATGTCTTGTCACAATTCGGGTATTTTCAGTTAATGCTGTGTTCTCTTAGACGAATGCTTCGGAGAAAAGACGGGAACAGATGTGGAAGACATAATAATTTATTAGGAACTAGCAGAGCCTGTGCTTTGTTTAGGGCAATCACATGTCCTAAAGCATAATCTCGTGGGACATAAACATACCTCTGAACAATTCTCTTTTTATGAGGCAGGAATGGAAGCAGTGGAAAACTAGTAGTTGTGATCTTGAACTATAAAATTTTGCATTAAAAGAACAAATTTTGGACCAACTCTCCAGGACCCTACTGTATCCATTCTTCATTAGCGAATGGAACAGACTGGTATATTTTATCCATCTGGAAAAGAATGGGGCTAAAAGTTTCTTTCTTATTTCTTTTTGATAAATATAGGATAGAAAGGAATCCCAACAAGTCAGACAGCTAAAAAATAAAACCTCTATTTCTTTGTGGCAAGAACTAGAATGATCATGATAGTACTAAGTTAGTCTCCAACTTAGCCTTCCAGTGTTTTTTAAAGGACAAAAAAAAAAGAACTCATTTTAACATGATGGATTTGGAAAACAAAAGGTGAAATTATCAAAATCCAGAAACCAAATAAATAGGCTTTGCCAAAACAAAGCAGAACGAAACAACAATAGCAGCAACAGAATCTATCAATGGAAAAACAGCATCTCCCAAATTAATCTGGCCTTTATATAACTTGTTTGGCATGATTCGGCATCCTGTTAGTATGTGCTTAAAGAATGATAGGCCAGTGTTTCCTGGACTTGGGACCAATTCTGCTCTAGACTAAGGGTTCACTCTCAGGCCATGCCAGGGGGCTGCCCTGGCCTTTGACGTGACACTGGTTGTAATTACAGGAGAGAGCAGAACAGTGAGATGAGCCCCAACAACTATTCCTATTTCCGAAGCATCATTCCTAATTTCCTCCTACTTCTCCTTCTCACCCTTGGTTCTGGGAAGGAAACGGTCACCACATTCACGGTGCAAGATCATAATAGGACTCCTGTGTCCTCATACAGACACTTCCCAGAGGGAATCCTTCTGCTCTCTTTGTGCTTCTGCTCCCCTACCTGGCCCGCTGGGGATGGAGGTGGTAAAAATCTATACCTTTCTCTTACCCTGAGGATATCAGCCTAATTTAGATTCTTGATTTCTCCCAAGGACAATTAACGCATCCAACAAATAGTTACTGAGAATCTACTCTGCATGAAGCAGTATTCTAGATGCTGGGGATACAACAGAGCACAAAATACTACCAAAAAACTCTGTTGTCGTGGAACGACATTCAAGTAGGAGGAAACAGACAACAAAAAAAATTAAATAAGGCAATGATGGAGTTAGAGTAGAAGATATCACATGCTCTGGAGAAAAATAGGGCAGGAAGAGGGATAGGAAATACTGGCCACAGGATGATCTGAGCAGGCCTTACTGCGAAGGACCAATGTGTGTGAACTAGGGTAGGGAGAAGCAAGAGAGGGTAGAGAGAAACAAAAGATCTGGGCTTGAAGGGTCTTGGAGGCCACTGTAAGGATCTTGGCTTCTATTCGGTGAGATGGGAACCCATTTTAGTGGTTTTGAGCAGCAAAGAGGCACACTCTGAGTTACTATTTTAACTGGATCCTTCTGGTAGATGTTAATAGGTGTTCCACATAAAAATAATTCAAATAAATTTAAGTCACCCTCCCTACTTCATTATCCCTCCCTATGTAATCCCTTTATGATTAACCAAATGTATTAACATATTTAAAGCTCTGAGAATTCCTGCTGGAAAAAGCCTACTAAGCTTACTTTTTAACCTTAGGTATCACCCACCCACTATGTCCATAGAACTCTTTTATCATGAGAACACCTCATATCTTCCAGAACCAGTTCAGAACTCAGTCTAGGGAACACGGGGCTAGATGATCCTTTAAGGTCCTTTGAGATCTAATAAGTTTCTGTATCAGAATTATTTTAATCGAAGATTTCTAACTAAACTCCTATTACATAGGGTCAACAGCATTTGTTACGAAAACTAGATGACACAACTTCAGGCTTTAGATAGCTGTCCTTTCTCCCTCTTGCTACAGTGAAATAATGACCAAGAGAAGGGAATCACTGATACTTGGAAGCAAAACCGGGGCTAAAATCTCCCTCAGCATACTGTGATCCTAGGCAAAAATC